GAAACGCTATATTTTTCCATTCGATGTAGAAAACGTTTACTTTAACAAATGCATGCGAAACAGACACCAAGAGTTAATGAGCAAGACAGCTTATCAACAAAACACATGCTTCGAGAGTAACGATGCACTATCTCTTCAGAAGCTTGAGAAGGAAATCTCACAAGTTGTGTTGCAAATTTTTAAAGGAATATTGACAGAAAAGTTTAATCACCCAAATATCCAATAACCTGTGCTTTTCTCAATATGGAAGAATTTATTTCAAAAAGAACATTTGGTTAATCAAATTTTGGCACTGAAGATGAAACAACTAACATTGATAATGAATGCATTTTGAAAGCTGATTTTGAGATAAGTCCTCTTGAGGCATTGTTAGTTGCAAAAACAGTTGGTTCCATAAGTAAATGATAAGTACTGCTGAAGACCCACTAGATATAAGTCAGTGAGAGATGGATTTTATTCAAACTTTGAAACTCCTTTTTCTCATTTATTATCCAGTGAGGAATTCTAGAAATGGTACTGGAAAATCGAGAGAAATTTCGAAGATACAATTACATTGGCCAAAAATTTGGAAAAAAGAGGAAGGTTAAAACAAAAGAAAAAGAAATAAATTACTTTTTTGCATTAACCTCAGAAAAAGTACAAAAATTTAAAGAGATTGAAAGAGCTGGAAAAAAAGTTAAAGCAGAAAGTATGGCGTTGAGAAAAAAAAATACTTAAAAAGATTTTTAAAAAAAAACTTAAAAAATATGGGAAAAGGAGTAAACAAAAAAGTGATCTAATTAAAATAATAATAAAAACATCATCGAATTACACAATGATAAACTCTCATAATTTAGAATGGACTATTAAACTGTGAGAAAAAATATGTAAAACATTTTTTTTAAATTATGTATTCAAACAAATTTTACTTTCCATTCCATGAATGAAAAAAGTAACATTTTCCACGTTAACTCTTGGTTATATGCTGTAATTTCAAGAAAAATCTTGTTTTTAGACATCTGGGTGGCCTAAGGATTCCTAACAAGCATCAAACATTCTCAAAATTAAGTGTTCATTCACTGGAAAATTTAGTGTTTATTCAATGTAAGAACTGTTCCTTCTCTTGGTTATCTTACTACTTATTATTTAAACCACCAAAAGCTTAAAACAATATTATGTAAGTTAGCTAAATTTTCTTTACATAATTTGCATTTAATAACAAATTTGTCGACACCATCATTTAGCTAAAATTACAAAGTTTGAAATTTTTATGGTTTTTTTTTAAAGGCAAGCTAAGCTTAAGTGTTCCTTCAATGGTTAGTTTACCCTATAAGATGTTGAGAAATTTGCTCTGTTGTGAGAGATGCTTAAAAATGTTGACTACGTATTCTTATTAATATTTATGAAATATATTATTCAAGAAATTTATGAATATTTTATTCCAAATTTATTCATACGTATGTATATTATTGAAATTGTATCAGTTATTGAGAAGAAAAAAAACTAAAATTTAAAAATAAAAAATTATCACATTAAAGAAGCACAATCTGTTGTATAATCATATTCCATCAGAAGTATGCTTTTATAAAACTCCACATTCGCTGAATAAAATGTTTTTTATTCAAATTTCTTTACTAAATTGCAAATAGATTTTTAGACGACTAAAAAAGAAACATCGTATTTTATAGCTTAAAAAAATAAAAAGATAAGCAAACGATAATCAGCGAAAAAAATATGAATGAAATTTTACGCTACGCGCGCGAAGTCAAGTTCCTTGCAAGTTTGTCACATTTTAATATTAATCGCCCCATTTAATTATTTCTTTATAGTCGCCAAATTATTTTTTTAAAAATGATTAATTTTCATTTTTCTCAGCTTCTAATAAATAAAAACAGTTGAAACTTTAGATTTTTCAATTGAAAAATATGTAGATTAATATGGTATAAAAAAATTCATACCTTATAATTCAAAATTTTTCATCCTCAGTTTAATTAAATAATAAAAAGTAATTAGCAATTACTAAAAGTTATTTTTTTCATGAAATTATCTTTGGATAAATGAGTTGTATGACTGGGTGAAATTTTCTTTGAATTGCTTTATTAGTTTTAAAAATATGACAAAAAACGTAAAAAGTGAAATTAACATTAGAGGTACGAGCTTTGGATTGCTCTCCTGACCAAACTATGGGGACCATATTTCCCAGATTGCGGCTACCCCCGATATTTTGAAGGTTAAGAATCCAAATATGTAAAAAAAAAAGGGGGGAGGTTATTCGGAGAAAGTACGTTTTTGTGTCTGATTTCGTAACTTAATTAATAGTTAGCACTAATTGATTAGCATATTTGAGGTCACCCCCAGGAATCATTAAGATTAACGCTTAGTTCGTGAAAATCCGATAATTAGAACGAAAGCTATTCAGGGTGATATCTTTTTTTTTGCTGACTGTACATACACCAGCCCAAGATCCTCCATTCTTAGAATTGCCTCCCTTATCTCTTAAGAATTCCTATTATATTTCATATTTAACCATAATCACCACTCTGCAAACTAAATTTTTATATAATGTATAAATAGATTTATGGTTAATACCTATATAACGTTTAAAAAAAAAAATTTGTGTCCCCAAAGTGTGTAGGCCCTCGATATATCCCTCTACAACGATATATTTCACTTGTCCCCAAAATAGTGTTGTAGTGAGGTTTTACTGTTTCTCATAAACAGGGTTGCCACTCCACAGTGAGAATATAAAACTGAATAATGCAAGAAATTGAGTGTTTTTCTTTACCAATTAAAAAAATACAGGGATTTTTTTTTTTTTTCGTCTTTTAAAAAAATGACCACTGAAAGTGTAATCTATGGGATATTTGAAAATGATCCTCTTAAGTTTTCCTTCAACTAAAATGAATATAGTTAGCTGACACAAGAGCACACTAATTGTGGTGTTTCCTCTTTACATATTGTGTATAATATGTACAAGGAATCTTTTTTCCAGATTTGAGTGGCAACCCTGTGAGAAAAAATAAAATTTTTAAAAAAAAATTATTTTTAAAAAAATGAAATATTTTATTTATTGAGGGTAGCCGACAGAAAGGGATACTGAATCGCGACTTAGGTTATATGATTTTTTTTCTCTCTCCACATTTATCCATTATCGTCAGCAGTTGCCAACTGCAATAACCGTGTACCTACCTGCTGAGTCACCTGTTTTTTTTTTAAAAAAACAAAGGTTCCTGTATTGTACAACTATCTCCTGTTTACCTGTATATTCTCAAACTTCTCTTTATTTCTTGAAGACATTTCTAAAAAAAAGAAAATTGGCTATAAATTATCTGCTGATGGCAAAAATACTTGACTCTTATTCCTCTGCAGATGGTACTATTGCAAGTACTGCTGTATGTTGAATGTTAATAGTTTAAGTAATTATAAATAATGGTTTAAAAAAATCCTCTTTAGATTAAGATTAATATACATATTTTTTACTTCGCTAAATGTAAGTGCTAATATTATTTCCACTTTGGACTTCTTTTTGACTTACATGATTATGCATGACATATCAAAACTTTACACATAGCCTCAAAAATGCTGCTAGTAAAATCTCCATTATTTTATTTCTCCTAATGTTATGCATGTGTCTTTTTCCTGTATAGGATCTGCTGTTTTGACATTCAATTTGAGACATATATACATATATATCAGCCTTTATTTAGGTCTTGAGTTGTAGAAATGTAAAAAAATTATTCAGTAAAGCTTCATCGATTAGTTTAGCTTGTAGATGCTCACGGGTAAAATAAAAGTTCTTTTTTCAAATTTCCATAATATGAAATTGTGTTCACGCTAATCTGTTTCAATGGCTGAAGACAAATTTATTAGAACACACCACAAACATAAAAATAATGAAATAATAGTAAATCACATCATTGGAAAACCGTTCCAGTACTTCCAAAAATATCGTCCTCACTTCTTCTCTTTTTCAATTCTTTTGTTTGTTTTTTTAATCTCGTGGCCATCTAGAGGTGGCTAACTTTACAGGTGGTATACCAGATTAACTCCTTCTCAGCCAAAGGTGTGTAAATGCACCATTTCAATAAGTATTTTTTTATTAACAATGTGATGTATATTTTTCACTAATTTTATTTTCTACTATTGTCAAGGGTTCTTAAGATATTTATAAAATATTAGTAAGTCAAGTGGAGTAAACACTTTCTGTTCTTAAACTATGCTAGTTTCTAAATGCAATTTGACTTTTTAAAAGAATTATTCTATTTTAAGATTAATTGTATGTTTTTATGATGTATTAAATTTGCAATTTCTGTAAAAAAGAAAATGAAACATATGTCTTTTTAAAAAAATAGTGTTCAACCAAAGGATTTAGTTACTGCACTATATTACCATTATACAAACCATTTTATTTCTTGAATTAAATATCATTTTTCATGCTCGAATTTTTTTTGTGTCCAATTGAATTTAATTTAAGTATATTTCAATGAAAGTGCAGTAAAACCTCGCTACAATGATAGTTTTGGGGAACCCAATAAATATAGTGTTGTTGAGGGATATAATATTATATTGAGGGCCTGTGCATACTTTGGAGACACAAAAAGATTTTTTTATTTTATTTTAATGTTACATATGTGTTAACTATAAATCTATTTATACATTATATAAAAATTTAATTCACAGAGTGTTAATTATGGTTAAATATGAAATCAGATAGGAATATTACATATGTGACTTCTTAGGAGATAAGGGAGGAAATTCTAAGAATCGAAGGTGTTGGGGTGGTACATCAAGGACGGAATACAAAAGCCATTCATTGTGGGGAAAAGAATCAACAGTTCTCTCGTCAGAAAAAATGGCAAAATATGATAATTTTTTTTACATTATTTGAAATAAATAGAGAAAATAATTTAAAAAATCGAAGAATATATTGAGAGGTGGATGATTGATAATAGAGTAGCTCAATTTCTATGCTTTTTCCTGAAATGAATTGTTCTTCTATATTTAAAAAATCTTTTTTCTAGTTGAAGAAATCATTCCTGCTGTGATAGAACCTTCATTTGGAATAGGGCGAATCATGTATGCTCTCTTCGAACACAGTTTTCGTACCAGAACTGGTGATGAAATGAGAACGGTATCCTTTATTTTTTACTTTTTCATAAAGACAAAAAGCTTATGAATAAACCTAATTTGATTCTCATGTCGAATATTTTTTCTGTCCTGTAGCGTTTTTTTAAAAGGTTATTTTCGATTTTTAAAAGCCTTTAAAGGTGCTTTTTCTTCCATTGGGTGTTTTTAAAATGGGCTTAATTTTTCCCTTTCCGAAAATAAGAATTTTTTTTTCTTTGCCATATCAATTTTTATCTATTTCAGCTTACCGTTGGCCCATAGCAAATTAAACTGCCAATCATGTTACATGTTTGAAGAAATACTTGTGAGTCCGCATGTGCGTCTACTGAGCTGGGTTCGGTGAGATTCTTGCAATCTCATGTGCGACTCTACAGCATTTTGCAAGATATTCTCTACTTTGGGCTTCATTTTCTGCCCTGTGAAATTGAACTCCAAAAATCTCTCCATCTTTTTATGGTGGCTAATATAGCAAAAAAAGAGAGTTCTTTGTCAGAAACTAATTCTTTTATCATCATCATTTAAAATCTTTGAAAATTTCTTTGCATTTTGTTAATGCATATAGTGCTTAAAATTATTTTTTGAGTGTTTAAAAGGTGCTTATTTTTTGTTGAAAGATTTGGCTACACACCCTGATTCAGAAATTTAAGAAGTGATAACTGAAATTCAAAATCCTTGTATTGTAACAACGTTGCATTAGAGATTTAATTTGAAAAACAATGTAGAAATGGGAAAAAAAAAGACTGTACACATTTCAATCTTCTAGAATTAACTTATTATTGAGGATTTTATATATTATAAACATGTTTTTATTGATTGTGGTAATTAAGTTTAATTTAAAAGGAGAATTTCACTTAGTTTCAAATATTATTGGCACATTTCTTTTACTTAATTGTCTATATATATATATATATATGATATATTTGTTAAATTATCTATATATGATATAGCCTGCAGAAATAAATTATAAAAAGAAATTCTTTGTTGCATTTCTTTTACAACTTTTTTATTTAATAATGCAATTTTTTTCCAAAACCTGTGTAATATGATCTAAAATGTTGATTTATGCCCTCTGATATATGTAATATCAAAATATACTTATATATGGTCATATAAATAATTATCAAAAATTTAATTTTACAAGTTTCTCTGAATAAATAGAAATAATCTGCTCTAAAAATCAAATTTAATTACTCTCTAGCACATGTTTTTTTTTTTTTATTGCTCCAAGATTATTATTCTGTTGTTCCATCCCTGAAATAATCTTTTATTTAGAGATAATGCTATTCCAGGGACCAAAGAACTGAGGGGGGGGGCAGAAGGGTCTTTAGCCCCTCCCCTCCATTTGAAATGAAGGAACACAGCCCTATCTAACATTGTAATTTTTCACTCAATACTTGTGTAATTAAATTCCTGTTTATCTCGAAAACCTCTATCTCAAAATTTCTGAAATTCACTACATTTACTGTCTAAAATCAATGTATTTTCCATGTTTATGTCGAATATTTATTTTATTTATTTATTTTTTTTGAAACCTCCGTTTCTCAAATTTCTAATAATAGATCACGAATGTCAAAACTTTCTTGATCAGTAGATATGAACAGGTTGGGTGTGTTTCTAAGAATTTCAATCACTATCCCTGCACTTCCTTAACTAGAAAGGAATACAATGATTCTGGCAGTAACTGAGGGGTTAAGAGTAATGACCACCGAGGGTTAACTTTTCAACATAGATAAGAAAGCTAAGAATAGAAATTTATTTTCACCTCAAAATTGCAACCAATGGATGAAAGAATAATTAGGAGTTTAAAAGTGAACTATAGAAAAAGTTGGTATGCGAACTTGCAAATGCTATCAGAATGACTATTTTGCTCTAAAATCTATCCAAAATGGTTTTGAGAACAGCTGATGAACAAGAGAGCATCAGTGACGAAGAAGAAACTGTTGACACTGAAAATGCATTGCCAAAATGGAATGCGATAAAATCTAGATTTAATGTTGATATTAATTGTGAAGATTTTTACTAGCAGACAACTGCCCGGTAACATGCGGAAATCGTAGATGAGAAAAAAGGATATCAGATGAAGAGGAAGAAGCTTATGACCATATTGATGAACCAAATGTGAATGCAAAGGAAGTATAAAAAGCAGAAGAAATCTTATAAACTATTCTTAAATCCCAGGAAAATGTTGGCTATGAGGAATTTGTGCTCTTTCTATACCTTAAAAGAATAATCGATACAAATTAGATTATAGTTCAAAAATCTTTGAAAAATTTCTTTCAGTCTTAAATTTATGTAAATATATGTATGTGGTATAAATTATTTAAAGAAATGCCTATTTTTTTCTATTAAAAACATTTAAATCACTTTTAATAGAATTTCTTAATTAAATTAAGGTTTTTTTAAAGTACCTGTTTAACTCCTCAAATTTTTCACCTTTCATATGAGATTCAAGATCAACTGGTTAGACTGTCCACTAGTGAAAAATTACAATGTTAGAAGGGATGCCCTCCCCAGTTCCGCAGTCTCTGTCTGTTTATGAAAATTCAAAAAACATGTCCCTAAATAAAGCTATGACGTCTAAAATAATCTTCTCTTCCTTGTAGTTTTTCTCTCTTCCTCCTAACATCGCCCCCCTCAAGTGCAGCGTACTTCCTCTCAGTAATCATCTGGACTTTGCACCCTTTGTCTCTCAATTATGTAAGTTCTCTTTTTTATATATCTCTACTGACCAGGTGTACCCCGATTTCTTGTATCTTCCTTCCTGATCTAGGATCAGGGCAAGTGATTTTTTTCACGGAATTCCATGTATTTTAAGACCGTCGAATCCTGAACTTCCGCAAACCAAAACTTGTAATTCAATGAAAGTTCCATCATTTCGATTTATTCCAAGGATTTGAAGCATATTGGTTCCAGGACTTCAGTGAATCAAAACTTATAATTTGACGAGAGTTCCATAATTATGCTTGATTCTGTGTATTTTAAGACCCATGATTCCTGGACTTGCGCGAATGAAAACTTATAATCTGACGAAATATAATACATATCTAACATTTAAACAAACGTCCTACCCCACAGGTGGTCATTCTTAACAGTTGACCAAATCATTTCAGCTCACCAGTTCTCGAAAGTTCTTGTTGATTAGCACTCAACTCTAACCAATTAGTATTCTAATTAATTTATTATACAGTTAATTGTGAACCTTCAAGGGACCGAAATTTCGGTTCCCAAAACCGGGACATCACTATATCCGTTTTGCAAACAATTTTAACTACTAATTCTTAACTCCCCCTTTTATTACACTTAATTTAAACCAATGACTAATAAAATGAAGTACAAAAAGGATACAAATATAATATGTTGTAACAAAAAATTTGTTGACTTTTATTTTTTATTGCTCTTTGTCTTTCATACAAAAATAAATAGTAATGTTTAGCTGATGAGCAATCCTCAACATCAAACATAGAAACACTTCCCGGCTCTCCAATAATTTTTCCTGAATTTAAGTCATTCCGCTTTTTAAACCTGCCTAATCAGCCGTTCGAGCCCAGAAAAGTAGTCTCACCAAATCGCTTAGTCATTTCATCCATTTTGACTTGAAGCATTTGTCCAGATACTGGAAGATCACGGCCTCTTTGAATGCTCAACCATTTCAATAATGAAGCCAACAAGAGGAAATGCTTATTGCTACATAGATGGTTTTAAAAAAATTGTATATGTATTTATTTTGAAGTAGAAACTTCAAAATTATTACAAAAAATGAAGAAAATAAATCAGTCAAAGACTGAGAAAAGTTAATACCTTTCTCTCTTTTGATGGTTCACTATATTCACAAAAATTAACATTATATGTGAGGCACAGGACCAAACATTTCTTTCACTATAGCGGGAGTTTGACTATAGTTATTTCTTCTTTGCAAAGGTAAATTGCTGGGCTCGATTACCTTTAAACAATCGTACCTAATGTTTGATTTTCCATTGATGGGCCAACATAATCTTGATGGTAACTATCAATAATTCTATTTTTTTATAGTAACAACATAAATAACCATCATCCCAATGTAGGAATTTGATGGTTTGTTCATGTTGAACCATCATAGTTTCTTGAAATGTTGGAACGATCATGAACAACCATCATTCCTATGTAGGAATTCGGGCAGACGGTCCAACATAAAAGAAGAAAATTATTCCTAAGAACCAAAAGGAATTTCCATTAAACTATCTTGTACAGTCATGAACTGAGAATCAAACATCTCTTGATGGTAAACCATCATAGTGTATCATTTTCCAACATGGAATGATTTGTAGGCATATCAAGCAACATGAATGTTGGTGACCATCAAATAATGTTGGACCATCATGATTTGAACTGAAACCAACCTAAACCATCGGGGGTTTTTTCATTTGGGTACGTTGTCTTGCAGGTGGTCATAATCATTTCTTTCATTTCAGCTCAAGATCTGACGAATAATGGGGTATCCCATCGTGTTGATGACAGCAGCGGATCTATCGGACGACGCTACACCCGGACGGACGAGATAGCCGTTCCATTTGGGATCACAGTTGATTTTGACTCTTTAAAAGAACCTCTTTCTGTCACCTTACGTGAAAGAGATTCTATGGAACAGATCAGAGTGCCTGTGAGTAACCAACATCCTTAAGCAACTCAAAATTACTCCACAAAAAAGATATTTCGAGCATACAAAAACAAAATTATTGTCTTTAACAAGGATGAGTTTCTTTTCCAGCTTGTTGGCAGAATTCTGCATTTTTTTAATACAAAAACTAAAACAAATTCCCCTTTTTTTTTTGGAACTTTTGAAGAGAAATTAGTTTTTTATAGATTTTAATACCTATGTAAACATGATTCAAAATTGTATTTACTGGATTTAAAGCTACAGAATTGGTTTTTAAAGACCCAATATTCTTAATATAAAATATGCTATTCGAATTTGTATAAATTTGCCGATTTCATCATAAATCCAAGTGACGATCTTTTTGAGGATTACCAATTTCCATGTGGTTTTTAAGATTCCGATACATTTAATACGGTTTGCGAGTTATAAATTGCGCGTCTAATCTTAAAGGCACTTATTTTCGATTTTCATTTTTTAAATGCACTTAGGTGTTTCTAAAAAGTTGCTTAATTTGAGTTGCTCAAAAATGTGATTTTTTTTTTCTTTACCATGTTGATTTTCGCCACGTGTTATGCTAAAGCATGCTTTTCACATTGTTTGTACTTGCGAGTTTGCATGTGTGTCAACTGAACTGAGTTTGATGAGATTTTTGCACTCTCGTGTGCAACTGTGCTGCATTTTGCAAGATATTCTCAATGTCAGACTTCATTTTCCACTCTCTGAAATCAAACCGAAAAATCTCTATCTTTTTATGCTGGCTAATATAATCAAGAAAAATATTCTTTGTCAGAAACTAGTTATTTAATCATGATCATGTAAAGTCTTTGAAAATTATTTTACATTTTGTTAATGTATAAAGTGCTTAAAAATGTACTTTGAGTGCTTAGGAAGTACTTAAAAAGTGAAAGTTGGCATCATACATTTGTACGTGGTATATGGAATCCTGATATTTTATTGTAATATTATTTCACCATGAAAAATTCCAAAACTTGAGGTAAACTCAAGTTTTTAAACTGCTTACTGTTTGTAGTTTATTTTGTTTTTAAATTTTTTTAGCTTAGGTGATTTTGTTTTAGGAAAGAAACTAAAAAACAAACAATTAAAATTTTTAAAACCTCTAATCATACGAGAAATATAAAAGTAATATTTAATTCTTGTTATGTATTAATTTGTTTTAATTTTTGTTTAAATTTTCTTCAATAAAAATATTTAATTCGAGTTTATGTTACTCTATAAAATGCATACATTTATTTTTGCACTTTCATTCTGTAAGCTCAGGATTTTTTTTTTTTTTTTTTTTTTTTTTTTTTTTTTTTTTTTTTTTTTTTTTTTTTTTT